TGGGAACGCGACCGGGAACGGGAACGGGAACGGGAACGGGAACGGGAACGGGAACGGGAACGCGACCGGGAACGGGAACGGGAACGGGAACGGGAACGGGAACGGGAACGGGAACGCGACCGGGAACGGGAACGGGAACGGGAACGGGAACGGACCTATAGGGCGTTCTCGCTCTTTTACGGGGGGGAACCCGGCTGGCCTGGGACATTGTGATTTCATATTTAGGGTGGACATGTGGTCAGAATCATATGTGATTTACATACCCGAAAGGGGGGGTGATAACGCCGGGGGGGGGGTAGAGTATTTTTTTAAGAAAGGAGAATCAATCATTTGCCGAACTTGAAGTTGTCAACTCCACTGCTCGCGCAATCATCCCACCCACCCACCCGCAACTTGGTTTGCAAAACCCATGCGGGGCCGAGCACAGATATCGCTCCGGGGTCGTCTTGGAGCCCTCGGGGGCGTCTCAAGAGCGCCCCAAGAAGGCCAAAGAAGCAAGACGGCCGACGACGACGAGGACGACGGCGGCGACGACGACGACGCCGACGTCGACGACGACGAAGACGACGACGCCGACGCCGACGACGACGAAGACGACGACGACGTCGCCAATGAAGACGACGACGAGGGAGGAGGGGGGACGACGACGGCGACAACGACGACAACGACGACGACGACGACAACGAGGGAGGAGGGAGGACGGCGACAACACGAACGACGAAGAAGGAGGAAGGACGGCGACGCCGACGACGACAACGACGAGGGAGGAGGGAAGACGACGACGAGACGACGACGACAACGACGACGACGGCGACGAAATAGGAAGGACGACGACGAGACGCCGACGACGGACGACGACGACGACGACGAGGGAGCAGGAGGAAGGACGACCACGGCAACAACGACGACGGAAACGACCACGACGCCAAAGAGGACGACGACGACGAACACGAGGAAAGACAGAGGACGACGTATGCGACGACGACGACGACGCGGGAGGAGGGAGGACGGCGACGACGACGACGACGACGACGACGACGACGACGACGACGACGACGCCGCAAGAGCGCGCGCGCACGCTTTTGTTGAAAATCCGTGTTGCGAAACCTTATGTTTTTGTAGGTTTTTTGGACGCGCGATTTTGAAATCCTTCCGAAACCGATGGGTTTTGAAAGATTTCGGCGTACGCGCGCGACGACGCGCGCGTCTGCACTTCGTCCCATTCTTTGCAGAGGATTCTCGCGACGGCACGCGCGCAAGGGCGTTCGACAGATTTCGACATGCGCGCGCGACGCCCGTTTGGTAGCATGTTGTGAACATCTTGAAAAACCGATGGTTTTCTTAAGATTTCGCAAGAGCTCGCGCGTAAGCTTTTTTAGCAAATCAGTGTTACGAAACCCAGTGTTTTTGTATGTTTTTTGGAAACCCGATTGCGACATCCTTCCGGCACCGAAGGTTTTTGAAGGGTTTCGGCATGCGCGCGCGACGACGCGCGCGTGTGCATTTTGTCCCATTTTGTTGCAAGGGATTCGCGGACAAGTGTTATGTTAGAACAAAAAATGTCACCGCATAGTGTTTTTCACATGGGAACCCCAGGGGGGTGATACCGGCTGGCCTGGGACATTGCGATTTCATATTCAGGATGGACATGTGGTCAGAATCATATGTGATTTACATACCCGAAAGGGGTACCGATAACGCCGGGGGTGGGGTAGAGTCTATTCTCTCTTTAGGAAGGAGAATTGATTTTCACCCACGATTTGACACATCCCACGCTCTTGCAATCATCCACCCCACCCGCCCGCAACTTGGTTTGCAAAACCTCTTAAGACCGACTCGACAATACCGACGATGTCTCCGACGACCGTCGACGACGACAACGACGCCGACGCCGACGACGACGACGACGACGACGCCAACGAAGACGACGACGAGGGAGGAGGAAGGACGACGACGGCGACAACGATGACAACGACGACAACGACGAGGGAGGAGGGAGGACGGCGACGACGCGAACGACGAAGAAGGAGGAAGGACGGCGACGCCGACGACGACAACGACGAAGGAGGAGGGAAGAATACGACCACAACGACGACGACGAAGACGACGGCGACCAAATAGGAGGGACGACGACGAGACGCCGACGACGGACGACGACGACGACGAGGAGGGAGGAGGAAGGACGACCACGGCGACAACAACGACGGAAACGACCACGACGCCAAAGAGGACGACGACGACGAACACGAGGAAAGGCAGAGGACGACGTAGGCGACGACGACGACGACGACGCGGGAGGAGGGAGGACGGCGACGACGACGACGACGACGTCGACGCAAGAGCGCGCGCGCACGCTTTTGACACAAGATTTTGACACCCTTCCGAAACCGATGGGTTTTGAAGGATTTCGGCATACGCGCGCGACGACGCGCGCGTCTGCACTTCGTCCTATTCTTTGCAGGGGATTCTCGCGACGGCACACGCGCAAGGGCGTTCGACAGATTTCGACATGCGCGCGCGACGCCCGTTTGGTAGCATGTTGTGAACATCTTGAAAAACCGGTGGTTTTCTTAAGATTTCGCAAGAGCTCGCGCGTAAGCTGATTTAGCAAATCAGTGTTACGAAACCCAGTGTTTTTGTATGTTTTTTTGGAGCTCGATTGCGAAATCCTTCCGGCACCGAAGGTTTTTGAAGGATTTCGGCATGTGCGCGCGAAGACGCGCGCGTGCGCACTTCGTCCCATGCTTTGCCAGGGATTCGCGAAAAAGGTGTGATGTTAGAACAAAACATGTCACCGCATTGTGTTTTTGTTTACAAGGGAACCTCAGGGGGGGGATACCAGCTGGCCTGGGACATTGTGATTTCATATTTCGGATGGACATGTGGTCAGAATCATATGTGATTTACATACCCGAAAGGGGTACCGATAACGCCGGGGGGGGTAGAGTCTATTCTTTTACAGTGAGGAGAATTCACTTGCTGAATTTGAAATTGTCAACTCCACTGCTCGCGCAATCATCCCACCCACCCACCCTCAACTTGGCTTGCAAAACCTCTTAAGACCGTGACGGTGGGTACCAAATGGTACTTGACAACGACAGCGACGACGACAGCGACAACGACGACGACGCCGCCGACAACGATTATGGCGGCACCGACGACGCCTCCAACTACTTCGACGACGCCGACAACGACGACGACGACGACACCGACGACGACGACGCCGACGCCGACGACGACGACGACGACGATGACAACGACGACGACGATGACGACGCCGACGACGACGACGACAACGACGACACCGACGACGACGACGACGACGTCAACGACGGCGACGACGACGACGACGACGGCGGCGACGACGACGACGCCGACGTCGACGACGACGAAGACGACGACGCCGACGCCGACGACGACGACGAAGACGACGACGACGTCGCCAACGAAGACCACGACGAGGGAGTAGGGAGGACGACGACGGCGACAACGACGACAACGACGACAACGACGAGGGAGGAGGGAGGACGGCGACGACGCGAACGACGAAGAAGGAGGAAGGACGGCGACGCCGACGACGAAAGCGTCCAAGAGGCCACGAGACGGCCCAACACGGTTTCAAGACGGCTCACGAGGCTCCCAAGACGCCCCAAAAAGGCTGCCCAGAGGACCCCGAGAAGGCTACGATTTGTCATTTTCTGTACGGTAGATTCACGTGGCGTTGACGCGCGTTCAAGGTTGAAGCTTGTGATGCGGAAGCACCAAGGGACACGGTAACGCAATTGGACCCAACGGAATTCACCCCCCTTGAACGATCGGAGTCGCGATCGATTCAAGCTTGATTGATCGACGCGGTGTCAAAAACATTCACGCGCACCAGCGCCGCGCGAACATATCGTATGTGTTTCAAGGATTTTGAGCTTACCGTCTTGTCGGGCCAGGAACGGCCCAAGACGGAAGGCGGCTCTGACGGCCTCCGAGATCGCGCCAAGACAGCCCAAAGAGGCCCCAACAAACGCACCAAGACTGCCCAAAAGGCCTCCAAGATGGCCCCAGGACCGTCCAAGAAGCCTTAGGGGGGGCCACAAGAGGTTCCCAAGAGAGCCCCAACAGGTCCCCAAGATGCCTCCAAGAGAGCCCAAGACGGCCACAGCCTAGCAAGACGGGCTCGACTTTCCACTCCGGGGTAAGAGAAGGTTCAATTCAACTGTGAGGGATAGGGGGGGCAGGGAATGATGTCAGACTTGGCACCAGCACACCAGTCCTGTCTCCTCCCACATATCTCGCCTCCCCTCTCCCCTTGTCTCCCCCTTCTGCTCCCTCCCGTCCCATGCCTTCTCACCCCTACCTCCCCTCCTCTTCCCGCCCTCCCCCCCTTCCCCCTCCCTCCTCCCCTTGCCGAGACTACCGAAAACCGCGGGGAGCATCCGGAAGCTTCCAGTAGCCGCCGAAAGCCTGCCGACATTTCCGAGTGCATCCGAGAAGGTGTGAAAGAAAACCGCATCCCCAGTCTCCTCTCCCCTCCTATCCTCCTGCTCCTGCTCCAGCTCCTCCTCCTCCTCCTCCTCCTCCTCCTCCTCCTCCTCCTCCTCCTCCTCCCTCCTCCTCCTCGTCCTCCTCCTCCTCCTCCTCCTCCTCCTCGTCCCTCTTCCTTTGTGCTCCTGTAAGAGTAGGATGAGGATGAGGAGGAGGAGGAGGAGGAGGAGGAGGAGGAGGAGGAGGAGGAAGAGGAGGAGGAGGAGGAGGAGGAGGAGGAGGAGGAGGAGCAGGAGGAGGCGGAGGAAAAGAGACGAGGAGGAGGGACATGAGGAGGGGAAACAGGAAGAGAAGGCCTGAGGAGGAGGATGGGAATTGGGGAGTGCGGAGGAGGAGGAGGAGGAGGAGGAGGAGGAGGACAAGAGAACAATGTGGATGAGGAAGCGAAGGGGAGGAGGGGGCAGCGGGTGCAGCGGCAGGAGCCTCCCCTCGTGCGGGCGAGATCTGGCGGCGGCGGCGCCCAGGCAGACCCGGGCAAGGACGCGGCGGCCGCCTGCCGCAAGCTGATGGCCGCCTTCGCTTCCACAGGCGGGCGCGGCCGAGGGGCCCCCCCATTTTGCGGCGGCTGGCCACGGGGGCTGTTAGGCCGCACCCCTATCGAGGATGGGCGCACCAGACGCCCCCCCTTCGTATATCCCCGAGTCTGGCCCCAAATTGTTGGCCCATCCGAAACCCTCACAAAGTGGGGGATCGAGATCGCCATACCCCCCGTTAAAGGGTGGGGCCTTCTCAAAAGGCTGAGAAGGTCTTTGGCCTTCGGAGAAGCCTTCAGGAACTCCCTCGAAGCGACAAGCTGGGCATTTTAGAAGTCGAAAACCAAACCAAACAGAAACATACGTTGCGGAGCTCCGCGCGGATTTCCTGGATCGGCGCTGGACCCCCCCTCCCTGGCGCCCAGAGCGCGCCAGGAGGGCCCAGCGCAGACTCAGGAATTCCGCGCGGAGCTCCGCAAGGTTCTGCTCATGCCGCTTCTTTAAGCCGTTCGCCATTGCTCGTGCGCGTGCGTTTTCGAGTTCGGCGGGGACCATCCGGGAGCATCTTTGATGGGCAACTTTCCCACCATCACTACCCAATGTAGGACGGGGGAAAGGGGAGGATGGGGAGGTCCTCCTCCTCCTCCTCCTCCACCTGCTCCTCCTCTTCCCTCTCCTACCTATGGTAGTAGTGGTGGACAATTAGCCCATCGACTCTGGATCATCTGGCGAAAACGAACCAGCCTGATGAAGGACCGGACAATATAAGTACAGCTGCGCGTACCGCGAGGGCGATGAGACGAAGGAGGGGAGCGCGCAAACTCCGAGTAGCGTGCGCGGTTTAGCCTCTGCTCTCATAGGCAGCGCACGCCACCCAACGTGTAAGGGGGCCGCCGACATGAGCCGGGCGGACGCATGCGAACGTCGCCATCGGGGCTTTCGGTGGAGCTCAGCTTCCTATAGGGCCACAAAGCGCCGTACCGGGTTGGGCGGACGCATGCGAACGTCGCACATAGGGCCTTCGGTGGAGCTCCCCATGAGGCCACACAGCGCTGTACTAGGTGGGGTGGGCGGATGCGAACGTCGCACTTGAGGCCTTCGATGGAACTCCGTATGGGGTCACGAAGCGCTGTACTGGGTGTGGTGGACGGATGCGAATATCGCCACTGGGGCTTTCGGTGGAGCTCCCTATGGGGCCACGAAGCGCTGTACTGGCTGGGGAAACGCGCGCGAGTGCCGCCAGTGGGCCTTCGGTGGAGCTCCCTATGGGGCCACGAAGCGCTGTATGGGCTGTGGCGGACGCATGCGCACGTCGCCATCGGGGCCTCTGGTGGCGCTCCCCACGGGGCTACGAAACGCTGTATTGGGTGGGGCGGACGCATGCGAACGTCGCCACTGGGGCTTTCGGATGAGCTTCTCATGGGGCTACGAAGCGCTGTACTGTTTGTGGTGGGCGCATGCGAATGTCGCCACACAGGGGCTTTCGGTGGAGTTCCCACAGGGGCCACGAAGCGTGTGAGGGGTGTGCCGAACATGTGGGCCTGCGGAGGGCAGGGGCACGCAGAGAGGGTGGGGAAGAGGATGAGGAGGAGGAGGAGGAGGAGGAGGAGGAGGAGGAGGAGGAGGAGGAGGAGGAGGAGGAGGAGGAGGATGAGGAGGAGGAGGAGGAGGGCGCGGGGCGCCGTCTCCTCTAAACGAGGACCCAACACCACAGGACCGTTGGGAAGTACGAAAGCGAAAATGTACGGGAGGTGGACTTCCGAACAGGAGGTCTTCTGAGAAAAAGCCCCCGCGGCCTCCCCAGCAGGCCCGCCCTCGACGTCAGACCCATGACGCATAGCATTAGTGTGTCCTTGTGCGTCCCGTCCCGAGAAGGAATGCCCCCTCCCGCTTCCCCGCCGTTGCCACGCGCCGCCCTGGCGATGAGGGCCGTCCAGTTTTCGTGGGATACCTGCAGCAGGAGTTCGCGTCAGACTGGAGGCCAACCCACGTCTCTCGAACCCGGGTCGTACATCCCCCCGACTGTCAGCGGCTAGCCCAGGGGTGAAAGCAGCGGGTGTGGGGCTTTTCCAGAAGGCTCGGAAGGCCCCTGGCCGTCCGAGAAGTTTCCGAAGCTCTATCCGAAGACAGAGGCGGTTTCTCAGAGGGCGGGAGGACTTCTGAGAAGCCCTAGCCGCCTTCTGAGAAGGCCTGCCCCCTCTCACTTTCCCCCAGGGCTGGCCGCCAAGGGCCCCGTTTTTAATACCCTGGCGATAACGGCAGCCACCTTGGGCGGGTGGTGGTGGGGTGAGGGGGCTGGTGACGGCGCGATTCGCGCCAACGCCGTCTGCGAACTAGCTTCCCCCAGCAATTCCCAAACGGCGCGGGTACGAACCGTGACGTTACCAGGTGGGCCGGAAACAATCTTACGGCGAATCGTAAAAAGACGCTCCAATTCCCCCCTCCTTCGCCGCGCGCATCGCGCGCCGAGTTCTTGCATCCCGGCCTCCAATTGCCCATGGATCGCCGATGGGCCTTGATCGCCCACCTCGCCTCAGGAACGCTCGGATTCGCGATCGGGGACCCGTCGCCGATGCATCTCGAAGAACAACAAACAACGTCATGAGCGTGAACTTTCGGAGCTCCGCGCGGATTTCTTGGATCGACGCTGGGGCCCCCTTGGCGGCGTCTCCGGCGCCGCCTCTGACGCGCTCCGTGCGCACAGGAGGCAGCGCAGGCCCAAGAAATCCGCGCAGATCTCCGCACGTTTACGATATTTGTTTCTTCTTCTAGAGCCGCGATCGGGGATCGCCGATTCCCAGGGCTGGTTTTTCATCCCGAGTTTTTTGCGATCCCGAGGCCTGGCGGGGCCCCTTGAGGCCGAAAATGATCAACAAACAACTTTCGTGGTTGTCACACAACGTGGACATGTCTCGAGTGCCCCCCTGTCGTCGGGAATGGGGAGAACGCCCACCCAGACAAGTCGATTGAGGAAATTGGCACGTTGTCACTCGACATTGGCATTCGAGTGTGCGGTCCCCGGTCGTTTTCGCTAATCGACGTGTGTTTCGATACACTCGGTTGTTTATTTGGACGTCAGTCAGCTACCCCGCTGGGGTCCACTCGGAATGCGGTGCCGTGCGCACGTGGAGTTCCCGTGACAGTTTTCTTTGGCGGGCGTTTTGCCGAAAGGCGTTCTGTCATTATTCGATGTCGTTCCCCCTCTGTCGGGGAAAAGTAAGACTCGAGTTTACCAGAACTCGGTTTCGCCGACGCGTTTGTACGGTCCAGTGCTCGGGGGCGAGGGGGCTGGTGACGGCGCGATACGCGCCAACGCGCGGGCACGAATCGTGACGTTACCAGGTGGGCCAGTAACAATCTTTTCTGCGAGTCGAAAAAAGACGCGAGCCCTGACGGGTTCCCGATCGCGAATCCGCTCGTTCTTGGGGCGGGTAGGGCCATCAGGGCTCCTTGGGCGAGATCGGGAGCCGAGATGCAGGACCTCGGCGACCGCGATGCGCGCGGCGAACGCGGGGGGAAATTGGAGCGCCTTTGGGGCTAAATGAGTTCTGTAGTCGATCTCCGACTCGAAAGATGAAGTGGTCGGGCGGGGCTAGGACGAGGATACATTTGTCCCAGATCACGCTCTCAGAGCGTTCCGGAACGCTCTGAGAAGGACGCGGCGCCCGAAACATCCTCCAGAGCCGCGGGATCTCAGAAATTCCCGATTCATCCCCACTCGGTTTTATCCTCGTCCTGGTTTCGTCTTAGGTGGCCGAGCGGCCGTCGTCGGTCGGCCGTCGGCCGCGGGGTCGTCGTCGGCCGCTGCCGGCCGTGCGCGGCCCGAGGCGCGCGCGGGGGCGCCCCGTCTCCGGGGGGCGTGCACCGCCGCTGGGGCGCTGCTCGGGGGGGGGGGGGGGAGGAAGAGGGTAGCTGGTTCGATGATGCTCCTCCTCTTCCTCTTCCTCCTCCCTCCTCCTCTTCCTCCTCCTCCTCCTCCTTTTTCTCTTCATCTCTGCTCCCTCCTCCCTCCTTCCTCCTCCCGTCTCCTCCTCCTCCTTCTCCTCCTTCCTCCTCCCTCCTCCCTTACGCTGGATTCATGCTCCAAGCGCGGGGTCAGGCTCCTGAGGTCATTTGATAAATATGCAGAGGCCGTCAGAGGGATAGGCCAGACCTCACGGAACCATAGATTTGTCCCAACCACCTTGTGGTGCTGGGTCTTCGTTTTGAAGAGACAGCGCCCCGCGTGCCATTCCTTCTCCTCTTCGTCCCCCTCCTCCCTCTTTCATCGTTATCATCATCGCGCCATCACTCCCGTTTCGGCACGCCCCTCACGCGCTTCGTGGCCCCGTAGGGAGCTCCATCTAAGGCCCCCGACGCGCACTTCGCACTTGGGCGTGACGCCCGTTTCAGCACACCCCTGACACGTTTCGTTGCCCCAGAGGGAGCTCCATCGAATGCCTCCGTTGCGCCGTGGCGCAGTTTGCATGTGGACGTCAAGCCCGTTTTGGCACACCCTTCACACGCTTCGTGGTCGCATAAGGGGGTTCCATCTAAGGCCTCCGTGGCGCAGTTCGCATGCGGGCGTCACGCCCGTTTCGGCACACCCCTCACAAGTTTCGTGGCCCCATAGGGAGCTCCACCGAAGGTCCCAGTGGCGTAGTTCGCATGTGGGCGTCGCACCCATTTCGGCACCCCCCTCACAAGCTTCGTGGCCCCATAGGGAGCTCCACCGAAGGTCCCAATGCCAGTTCGCATGTGGGCGTTATTGTTGGATCCCTCGCCATGCTAATTTCCCAACCATCCTGTGGTGTTGGGCCTCGTTTTGCAAAGATAGTGCCCCGTGTCACTCCTCCCGCTGTCCCCCTTCTCCTCTCATCGTCCCCCCTTCTCCTCTCATCGTCATCATCATCATCAGCAGCATCATCATCAGCATCATCATCAGCATCATCATCATCGTCATCGTCACCATCATCATCATCATCATCATCATCATCATCATCATCATCATCATCATCATCATCATCATCGTCATCATGATCAACATCAATACCAACATCAGCATCAACACCATCC